AGGCCTAATAAATTGTATCTGTGTGTATGTAGATTGACTCTATGTATCTGTGTGTATGTAGACTGACTCTATGTAGAGCTCTATAAAGATATGTGATTTTATTTTATTTTACTTTTACTTTATTTTATTATTAAAGGCATAGATTTAGGAACCAATACTAAAAATAGGTATAAAGATATTAGACTGACTCTAGGTAGAGTCTCATTTAAGTTAAATATTTTATTACTACTAGTAAGACTATATTATAAATATATGTATCGTGTATATAAAGAGTGACAATACTCTAACAGGTAGATTCACGACTCTACATAGAGCAAAAATTTTTTCTTGTCTTTTGTTTTGTTTATATTTTTATATTTTTCTAAGGAACGGGACGGGGCGTTTGTGGTTCTTTTGAATTAAGTAAACATTAAATAACTGCAACCTCGTCATTTTTAAAAATATTTATAACTTTTACAAACCTTATAATCCTTTTATTTTATTGACATAATTTTGTTATTCATTAATTTATTATTTATTGATTGTTGAGACCCAAGACGCGTTCCTCTGACGAAATGTTCGGTTTTCGTACCCCAACTAAAAGTACTGAGGATAGTGCCAAGAACACGAGTCCTCAGAGTTCCCCGAACGTGATAGAGAAGGCAGGGCCTTCTACTAATAAGGAACAAACGGTACAGGTCCCTAATGTAAGAAAGAGTATTGGAGAATGGGAAACAGGACAAGTAGATATGTTAGCGGCAAAACAGACATCTCCAAAAAAGGTACCACAATCGGCTCGACAAAAACAGAAAATTGCCCTAACCCAGGAAGCAAAAGGAACAGTCCGTAAAGCAGTCGTTGAGGTTGTGGAAAGTTCATCAAAAGTGGAGACCAATAAATATATGGATCGCCTGACAGAGGCTCGAGCCTGTCTCCATAAAGCCAAACTACACCTCAACAACTCTAGCAACTTAAGGACTGATATTAAAGTAGAAGTCACTCAGGCCATAGAGAGGCTTTACCAACTGGTAAAAGAGACAGAAAAAGGCAAGAGCACAGAAAATGAAGAAAAATTGAAAGAGAAGAAAGAGGAAAGATTGGATGATGAAAATAGGAAAAGGAAAGAAGAAGATCTAAATATAATAAAGAAATTGCAGGAGCACGGAAAACTTATAGAAGAAAGCAAAAAGAGATGGAAAAATTAAGGGAAGAAATCAAAAAGCAAGAAAGTAAAGATGATAGAGCAACATACGCCAGTATAGTGGCTGGGCCACAAAGGGTCTCGCCTCTAGAAAACATGGCCATGCACTCGGTGATGATTACATCGAGTGATTAAAAAGAGACAGGAGACCAAGTGATGGACAAAATAAGGAAAGTTATGAATGCCAAAGAAGAGGGTCTAAAAATAGACAAGATTAGAAAAGCTAGGGACAGGAAGATAATTGTAGGATGCCGAACGGAGATGGAGATCAATAGAGTTAAGGAAAGACTAAAGATGGCAGGGAAAGACCTTAATGTTGACGACATTAAAAACAAAGATCCACTTATAATCCTGATGGACGTATTGCAGTACAACACGGATGCGGACATACAAAAGGCCATACAGATTCAGAATAAGCATCTCCTCCAAGATATTCCAGAAAAAAGAATGTAGAATGGAAGTGAAATATAGGAAAAGAACCAGGAACCCACTAACATCCCACATTGTTATAAGAGTCTCAACCCAAATATGGAGCCGCTTAATACAGGCAGGAGTAATCCACGTGGACCTTCAGCGTGTAAGGGTGATGGATCAATCGCCCTTGGTCCAATGCTCGAGATGCTTGGGCTACGGACACAGTAAACGTATCTGTAATGAAACCACTGATGTCTGTAGCCATTGTGGAGGCCCACATCTGAAAACTGAATGCGATAACTGGCTTACCGGAGGAACCCCAGACTGCAAAAATTGTAACAAGGCAAAGATAGAGAAAAGAGAGCATAACGCATTTAGTGGGGACTGTCCAGTAAGGAAGAAGTGGGAAATACTAGCGAGGTCCACCGTGGCTTACTGCTAAAGTTGTCCCAAGGCTCAATAGGGAACCGGGTACCACAAACCACCGATATCACGTCGCACAGGCGAATCTTCAGAGATGCGAGCTAGCCACAGCCGAAATAATAACAGAGGCAATCAAGAAAAAGCTAACTTTCGCCATGATACAGGAGCCCTATATCGGCAGCATAGGCCAAATGAAGAACTACCCGGGAACCAGAATAGCGCAAAAAGACAGACGCCCTGGCACCGAGAAGGTGAATAAGGCAGCTATTGCGCTGTTTGACGACACCACCGACATGACCCCATGCCCCAGTCTGACGACGGAGAACATAGCAGTCGCTAAGTTGAGGACAGGGGCGTGGGAGGTGGGGGTGGTGTCCGTCTACTTGGAGGGAGAAAAAGCCGATTGAACCATATCTGAGAATGATCGAAGCGGTCGTGTTGGGATTACGCACCAAAAAAAACGTGATACTCGGTGGGGATGTGAATGCCTGGAACACCTGGTGGGGCAGCCGAAGGACAGACATTAGGGGAACAGAGGTCGCTGCAAAACTCGACGAGCTAGAACTTCATATCTTAAACAAAGGAACTGAACCTACTTTTGATACGTACAGAGGTGGGAAGAGGTTCACTAGCTGCGTTGATGTCACTACCTGCTCGACTAGCCTACTTGGAAAGATAGACAACTGGAGACTTTCAGAAGAAATAACTAACTCTGACCACAGGACAGTCCTATTTGATATAAATTTAGGAAAGTCATTAGGTACTGATATTAAACGAACAACTAGGATATATAATACTAGAAAAGCAAACTGGAACGAGTTTCGTGAGAAACTCGTCCAGATTTGGAATAATAAGCAATTAAATAAAGCAGAAATAGATAAAGTTAAAACTACACAAGAATTAGAAAATAAAATAGAACTATTTACTAACACAATAATTGAAGCATGTGAAGAAAGCATACCAAAATTAAATAATAAAAAACAAATGGGACTGCCCTGGTGGACCCATGAGCTCACACAGCTTAAAAAGGAAGGTCTCCAGGTTGAAGCGTCGAATTGCTCACGCGGCGCCGGTTCGACGAGAATGGGTGGTCGAGCGGTATAAAACAGCTAAAGAGGAGTACCAGCAGAAAGTGAAAAAGGCCCAGACCACAAGCTGGAAAGAGTTTTGCAGCAGACAGGACAGAGAAACAATGTGGGACAGCATATATAGGGTGATAAGCCGTACAATGGTGCGACAGGAGGATACTCCACTAGTCTGTAACGGAGAAATTTTAGAGGGTGAAAGGTCAGCTAGGATCCTGGCGGAGACTTTTTATCCCGAGGACAAGATCGAAGATGACGACACGGACCACACACAAATAAGAGAAATTGCAAAGACCGTGAACGAAGGGACACATGATAGTCCATGTGACCCGCCCTTTACTGAGAATGAGCTGATGTGGTCCGTGTCAAGTTTTAACCCAAAAAAAGGCGCCAGGAGACGACGGACTTACTGCATACATTTGTGGGGTGGTAATCACTCTAGACTCACCATTGTTCTTGGCACTATTAAATAAATGTATCAGTTTAACATACTTTCCCATCCGGTGGAAGAAGGCCACAGTGGTAGTACTGCGGAAGCCTGGTAAGGATAATTACGCACACCCGAAATCATACAGGCCGATTGGGCTATTGCCTGTACTAGGGGAAAATTTTTGAAAAATTAATAATAAGAAGAATAAAGTGGTACACTGTACCAACAATAAGCCGACAGCAATACGGGTTTATGCCGCAGCGCAGTACCGAAGACTCCCTCTATGATATGATGCAGCTAATAAGAACTAAGCTAATGAACAAAAAACTTATCCTGCTCATATCATTAGACATAGAGGGAGCCTTCGATAATGCATGGTGGCCCGCAATAAAATGTAGACTCGCGGAAACGGCGTGCCCAGTAAACCTGAGGCGCCTTATAGACACCTATCTTAAGGATAGAATGGTTAGCGTCAGGTATGCTGGGGCACAATGGAATAAAAAGACAACCAAAGGGTGTGTGCAGGGCTCGATAGGGGGTCCAATATTTTGGAACCTTCTGTTGGACCCACTATTAAAATCGTTGGTCGAACAAGGAATTCATTGCCAGGCTTTCGCAGACGATGTGGTTCTGATATTCTCGGGGACTCAACCAGGCAGTTGCAGGACCAGGCGAATAAGACCCTCGCACAAGTCCAGAAGTGGGGAGTCAAAAACAAACTTAAGTTTGCTCCACAAAAAACTAAAGCGATGATTATTACTAACAAGCTAAAATATGACTCACCACTTCTGGAAATGGGCGGAGAGCGCATCGAGCTCTCCAGGGAAATCAAAATACTCGGCCTCACAGTTGACGACAGGCTTGCCTTTAACACACATATCAAGAATAAATAAACATACATAATGAATAAACATACGGTCGCGCGCTGCGTAACGCTCAAGACGCTAAATGAATAATCTGCGAATAAAAATTGAAAACTAGCGCTAAACTTTAAGTTTCGTTCCCAAACATACAAAGTGTTATAGTACAAGTAATACGTAACATAATGATATTTAAAACTGTGTGAAGTGCTCAGTTTATTTGTGTTAAAATCAAAATAAGTTATGTGTTTGTGCGGTACTCTTCAATTATTATCAAGTTATAAAGTCATAAGTTGAACTTTGGACCCATTAACACTTCGTACAAATATACACGCATTTCAATAACTGATCAACTATACTGTGTATTTCGTCGCTTAGTCAGGACATCGGCTAGCCTAGCGGTGGCGGAGTTACGGACGACTTAAACACTGGCGATCTGGAATACATAGTTCGAAACCTGGCGCCACAAGTTATTTTTTTTTTTAATTAATTATTTTTTTTCTTTTTTATAATTAAACTTTTATTTTTGTCTCTGTTGGGAGAAGGAAAATATAAACATTTTTTTAAATTATTATTTTGTAACCCGAAAGAAGTCAAAAAAGTGCAAAATGATCTGCGGGGGTTGTCGTCTATTACTGAACACAGATTGTTCCTTACATTGCCACACTTGTGATATCAACTATCACTATGAATGCCTAAATATAAACAAGGAGCAGTTTGTAACGCTTTCAAAAGAATTTCGTACCTCTTGGACCTGCCCTGCATGTGTGAATGTAACAAGACGTATAAAAACTAACTTAAGCACACCTGTACGTCACAATCAGGTACCATCTACGGAACAGTCTATGGACCTATCATGCGAAATTGTGAACAAAAGTGAGGCGCACATACCATCAGATTCGGACTCCATCGAGAAATTTAATGAACTGCTTAATACTATCAATTTGTGGCGTAACGACATGAATTCTAACATAATGAGTATTAGAGATGAAATTAAGAATGATATGAACTCTAACTTTATGAGTATTAGGGAAGAAATTAAAAATACCTTAAGTGACATCCAATCTGAAATTAAGTCTCTACGAGAGGAGCAAGCCACCCTGAGACAAAATGTTTCTAATATAAACATAGAATTATCGTCCCTTCAAAACTCCATTCAATTTCAATCTGACGAACATGGTATTTTGAAACATAGAGTCGATGAAATCGCACGTGTTGCTGGTGAACAGACCACATCAGCAACTGCAGGACTACAGTACAGAATCGACTCCCTGGAACAACAAGCCAGACAGACAAATGTTGAAATCTGTAACGTACCGGAGCGTAGAAATGAAAACCTTATAGGTATTATCGAAGTCATTGGAACAGCGATCCGCTTCCCCATTTCAAAGGCAGACATTGTGTCGATACATCGGGTTCCTCACGCACACAGCACAAATGATAGACCTAAAAACATCATTGCTAAATTCAGCACACGTATACATAGGGACAATAAAATTGCAGCATATCGTAAAGCAAAATCACTGAGGTCTGATCAGCTCGGCATTCAGGGCCAATCTACCACTATATATTTGAATGAACACCTTATACTACAGAAGAAACTGTTATTTCGTAAATGTCGGGAGGTTGCAAAGGAACTTCATTACAAGTATTGCTGGATCAAAAACTCAGCCTTTCTTGTTCGAGAGAAAGACGACAGTCCAGTACTGGTCATCCGAGGAGAAGACGACCTCAAAAAACTTCGAATCACTAAAAAGAAGTGATTGTACTAATTCGATAAGTCTAGTCGTAATTATATCTACAACGTTTTACTACCATTTCATGTATTTGATTGATTTACTCTTCTGCACTGACTGCAGTTTTCTCAATGCTAGCTTAAAAGAACAAATGAGCGACTTACACGTCTGTCTTAGCAATCAGGAAAATTTATCACTACAAATAGTGTCAATTTTAAAGTTAAAACAAAAATCTTATTCTCATCAGATACTAACCATTACAATCTGGCTTTCTACTGTACAATAAGGCACAAATTTATGCTAAAAATAGCTCGTGTTCACACTCAACACTATCTTAGCAAAACGAACATAATACAATGCTCTTTTTTTAAATGAATAACACGACTCAAACAAATCATCTTATTATTTATTATCAAAATTGTAGAGGTATAAGGACCAAATTAAACACACTTTACATGAATATCTTATCTAATAATTATGATGTCATTATACTCACTGAGACCTGGCTGCTTCCGGATATTGGCAACTGCGAATTTATAGATCAGAGGTACGTGGTTTACAGATGTGACAGAGACCGCTTAGCTACCGACAAACAGGATGGTGGTGGTGTTCTGGTGGCGGTGCTGCGTGGACTGAAACCTGCTATATTTAACACCTCAAACCCGGATAAATCTCTGCACTCTAAGCATCTTGAATGTTTACTGGTCGAAATTCCTAGTACAAGCCAAATTAGGAAACATGTAATTAGTGCAGCGTATATTCCGCCTCGCAGCTCCCCGGATACATATGAAAAACACTTTGACCTGTTACTTGATTGCCTTAATGATCCTGTTATTGATAGCTTTTATGTGATTGGTGATTATAATATTCCTGATATGACATGGGTTCCATCATCATCCGCCACTTCTGATTATTATAACCAACCTTTACCGTTGAATGGATCTGGATCCACCTATACACATTCCCTATTGTTGAATTTTATGGCATTTCTAAATGCATCGCAATATAATGGAATCTTAAATTCTAATGATAAACTACTGGACCTTTTCATCTCTAACACCTCATCTACTATTAGAGCCCCAACGGATCCACTACTTCCTCCTGATTCCCATCATCCACCTTTCATTGCGATTACTGATATGCATCAGACTTATAAACCAATGAAAAGGCGCCCTCTAACCAAGTATAACTTCCGTAAAGCAGATTTTGACCTCATTAATTCCAAGCTTGAAAAAACAAATTGGACGGAACTACTGCAAACGCTTCCATCTGAATTGAAACCTGCATTGAAACCTTTTATATGAGCATAGATGACATCATAAAACAACATGCACCACGTTCTAGTTCTCGCCCCGGCGGATTTCCTGTCTGGTTTTCACGTCCTCTGATTAAAACATTTAAATGTAAACAAAAAGCCTGGACTAAGTGGAAGAAATATAAAAACCCAAGTGACTACGTACTATTTTCCCAATACAGAAATACATTTAAGATCCTATGCAAACAATGCTATCGTAGGTATATGGACACTATAGAGGAAAATATAACTAAAAATATAAAACATTTTTGGACCTATGTATCGAGTCGCAAAACTGAGACTAAAATTCCGTCCACTTTGCATTACCATAACTTTAAATCCAGCGACCCCGAGACGGTATGTAATATGTTCTCTGACTTCTTTCAATCAGTGTTTGAACCCTCTCCCCCCTTCTCTTTCGCATTGGCAGCCTCCATCTTGTACCTCAAGTCACGATATTTTAATTTCTGATATTTACTTCACTGAAACTGAAATTCTAAATGAACTCAAAAATTTAGACACTTCCAAGGGTCCTGGTCCAGATGGCCTTCCTCCACTCTTTTTCAAACAAACTGCTGAAAATATTTATAAGCCTTTGCACATTATCTATAATAAGTGTTTATCAGAGGGTGTTTTTCCTACGAGGTGGAAACATGCAAATATAACTCCAGTTCATAAAACTGGGTCAAAACATGATGTTGAACATTATCGCCCCATCTCTATTCTCTCCGTCTTGTCGAAGGTCCTCGAAAAATTAGTCCACAACCAAATTTACCCGATTCTACACAGGGCTATCATTGAAGAACAACATGGTTTCGTTAAACATAGATCTACTACTAGTAATCTACTTACCTTTACGAATAATTTATTTGCAAGAGTTGATGAAGGCTTTCAAGTAGATGCTGTATATACAGATTTTAAGAAAGCTTTCGACAAGGTGGATCATGAGATTCTTCTTAACAAGATTGCATTCAATGGTATTCGTGGTAATTTGCTGCGCTGGTTTGCATCTTATATTCAAAACCGTTCCCAAAAAGTTGTAGTAAATGGATATCAGTCAAGGAACGTTTTGGTTACATCGGGCGTTCCTCAAGGATCCATTCTTGGACCATTGTTATTTATTATTTTTGTTAATGATATAGATAAATGTTTTCTTAACTCCAATTTCCTATTATATGCCGACGACCTGAAAGCCTACAAAACTATTAAAAACATAGAAGACTGTATATCTTTCCAAAGCGATCTTGACAGATTAACAACATATTGCAACATTAATAAATTACAATTGAGCATTCCAAAATGTCACTATATAAACTTTACAAAAAAGAAAAATATTGTCCGTTTTAATTACATCCTCTGTAAAAAGTCCTTGGCCAAAGTGACAGACGTAAGGGATTTGGGGATTCAGTTGGACTCTAAGCTACAACTAAACATCCATATTGATAAGATAGTCAAACAAGCTTTTAAAATGTACGGATTTGTTATGAGATCTTCTACTGACTTCAAACGAACTACCACATACTTATACCTCTATAAAACTCTTGTTCGTTCCCAGCTTGAATATGCTGTACCTATATGGAATCCCTACTACAAAGTATACAAAGAAGCTATTGAGAAAGTCCAAAATAAGTTTTTGCGTGCCATGTACTATAGATGCCATAAATCTTACTTGTCTCGTATCCCATTGCTGAGAGAGTTTGGTGTTTTGTCGCTTGAATGTAGACGTAAATATCTTGAAGCTATAACATTGTATAAAATAGTAAACAACAAATTTAGCAGTACTGAGTTAGTTTCCAATTTAAATTTCGTAGTTCCTAGAAGTGCTCATATACGTGCTGTGCGCGCTCGTAACCTGTTCGCCGTCAGTACATGTCGTACAAATACCGGCTCGCGCGCGCCAGTTCGCTGTATGATGCATTCTTTTAACGAGTTTTTCAATGATGGTAACATAGATTTGTTTACACCGAATATTCTTGCTTTTAAAAGATCTATATTTGAAAAACTAAAAATGTAAAAATAATATTATTTTGGCTCTTTGTTTTTTAGCTTTTAGTTATAAAGTTTTTATTCAGCGTCCGCGACAATTTAATTAACATTGTAATTAATATGTGGATAGCGTTGTGGGCTACATTATTGTGAATACATCATGTTATTTTATTTTAGATATTACTGTATTTTGTAGCTGTTTGCTGTTCCTTAATAAATAAAATAAAAAATAAAATAAAAATAAAATGAATGTGTGTTGTAGGGTACAGAGCCTGTATCGTCAACTGTCGAGAGCCGCAAAGATTCATTGGGGCTTAAATCCCGAAATAATCAGGACTACATACATCGCAATGGTGGAACCAATAGTGATGTATGCGGCTAGTGCGTGGGTAACAGCAACCAACAAAAATAAAATTAGAAAGCAGCTCGACATGATGCAGAGGGGATTCCTGCAAAAAATAGTTAAATCTTACAGAACAGCATCACTACACTCGGTCCTACTGCTCGCTGGGTTGCTTCCACTGGACATGAGGGTCCGGGAAGCAGCCTCGCTTTATACGATAAAGAAAGGATTCTCCCAGCGAATAGTGGGTGATCGAGAGGTGGAATGCAAAATAAAGTACTCACAAACACCACATCCCGCAGATCAGGTCGGGTTGAAGTTTACATGCCTGGAGGACGGTGCACAAATCAAACAAGGTGACAATAAGACCCTTAGCATCTTTACAGATGGAAGTAAAATAGAGGGGAAAGTCGGCGCGGCGTTATCCATTTGGAATGACGCCGCGGAGACGAGTACCCGAAAACTGAAATTGGAAAATTTTTGCACCGTCTACCAGGCAGAGTTGCTGGCTATACACGAGGCAAGCGTATATGCACTTCAAGACCCAGCACCAATTTGTAATATTTACAGCGATTCGATGTCTGCTCTCCAAACAATTGTACAGGACGTTTCCCTCCATCCCCTAGCGGTGGAAGTCAGAAAAAATATCATAAACATTAATAAGAAATTGATGAAAGCGACTGTACTTGTCACGTCAACATAGGCTCCGTAAATTATAAGTTTTAAAAAATATTAAATGTAAACAATTTTTGTTATTTCTTAGTTAAGTGAGTTCATAATCATGTAACTAAAGACTACAAACTTTATCCAGTTGAAGTGTTAAGTGTGAACATTGTTAATTTAAATTTTGTATGGAACTAACTTTGAGGTGTTTAATAACAAAAGAAATATCAAAATGTGTGATAAAGTGAACGAAAACTGTTTTTTATCAAAAAACTAAGTGGATAATATAAGAATTTGCAGGAAAGTAACCATTAATTGAGCTTATAATTTCAAAAATATAAAAGACCGTTACATAGTTTATTCAAAAAAATATTTAATTATTATTTCTTTAGTGGACAAAACGAACAATCACTGTAACTAAAGAACGATTATTCTTTTATACTAACTCAAATTTCAAGATACTTGGGTGTTTATTTTAGTATTATGATAATTATTGAAAATAAAAA